TTTTTCTGCTTTCTCCTCTGTGCAGTTGTCACCGGTGCCACATCTGGTATTGGTAAAGCTTATGCCACTGAGGTGAGTCATCAGCTCCTCTTAACAATCGCTCTCTCTCCCCCCCACACACACACACAGATATTTTGTAGCCGAGACTTTCTTTTGTTACTTTTGTCACTTCTTTTCACGGAAAACAGAAAGTTGTGAATTTCAGTATCTTATAATGTAGCTGCGTTATTACGATGGAGTTTTAGGTAGTGTGTAGTCCTGCAGCAATTAATATCGCCTCATGATGTGCTGCTGATGTGATAATCATTCTTGCAAATATATTTTTGTTCACGCAATGTGAAAAAATATCAATTTTACAGCAAGCTTATAAATGAGTTTTCACAGTTAATAAAATTGTTGATAGTAAACTCCAAGACCAAGAAATGTGTTTTTTAAGTTCAGAATTATAAAACAATTTGATGGACTTTGTCTCCTTGTTGTGTGACAGCCACAAACTCTCTCTTTTTCTCTTCCAGCTGGCACGAAGAGGCCTGGATATTGTTTTAATAAGCAGATGTGATAACAAGCTTCAAACTGTTGCCAAAGAAATCGGTGAGTTCAAGGACAATACTACTTTCTGCGGCTATTGAGACAAAATAATCAAAAATACATTGTTTGTTTTCATCAGAGGGTGTGTATGGAAGAAAGACTCAGACCATCCCAGTGGACTTCACACATGGCTACAGTATCTACCCTGCCATAGCCAAGGAACTACAAGGCCTGCAGATTGGAATTCTGGGTAATACATACCCACCTACTTCCCAACTTGCCTTTTTCTTACATACTTACTTACTGAAGCTGTTAATTTTGCATGTCCTTATGCCACATAGTTAACAATGTGGGAATGACCAGTACTGACTGTTTTGCCTATTTCCTGGAAACACCAGATGCTGAACAGGTAAGCGTTGTCGTGTTTTAATGTTATTATCTAAAGTTAATGAAGTGTTTAATATATCTCTTCTGATAAAAATCCTTTTTTCATTTTCTGTGTTTTTCTGACCAGAAAATCACTCAGGTGATCAACTGTAACATACTGTCAGTCCCTCAGGTGAGAGGTCTTTGTGGGTATTTCTGAGTCATTTTCACAGCTTTCTCCAATAAATAACCACTGATTGATATCTAAATGAGTTTATGTTGTCTCAATTCAGATGACCAGACTGGTTCTCCCAGACATGGTTAAAAGGTAAAGACAGAAACATTCAAATTTAAAGTGATTATTAGGTAGCAAGGTATGGGATGATGTAATGGATGTCTGCCTTCCATCTTTGACCCAGAGGAAAGGGGCTGATCATCAACATCTCGTCTATGACAGGTGTCCATCCACAGCCTTTGTTGACGCTTTACTCTGCCTCCAAGGTGCTGTTTCAGTATGACATACTTGCACTCATTGTTTCAGATACACGCTGACCCCGTTACACTGTAATGTTTCCTCACTGGCACACGGTTTGATGATGCTCACTTGTTGGTTTGTCTGTCTTCTTCTTTATTCCAGACTTTTGTAACATACTTCTCTCAGTGTCTCCATGCAGAGTACAAGTCAAAGGGAATTACTGTCCAGGTAAAGTGTGCAACTCTGGCCAAATTCCAAAATTTCATTTTTTTTTTTCAGTTAAAAGCCAAATAACTCTGGCTCACCAAGCTAATTTTAGATTTAGGTTTTGATTTTACCTAATTTACTTTGAGGTTTATTACTAGTGAACTACAGCTGATACACATATGGAAAACTGTGTGTTTTCAGGCTAAGTTGTTTGTTTTGTTTTTTTGTTTTTTTTTCGGGGGGGGAGGGGGTTGGTGTCATGCACTTTTTAGACATTAGCCAAACTCCCTTAATCTCTCCTCAGTGTGTGGCTCCCTTCCTGGTGTCCACCAACATGACAAAAAATGTGAAAGTGAACAGCTTCATGAAGAGCGCTACGGCGTTTGCTCGTGAGGCTTTGAACACCGTGGGTCACTCCAGCTGCACCACTGGCTGTCTATCACACGCAGTCCAGGTCAGTTATAAAGTGCTAAACTGTTATCGCTTAGAAATGATCCCCTCCAATACGTTAACATGTCACTTTTCCAACAACCTACAGAATGTGCTTCTCACAATACTCTTGCCGGACCGTCTTCGGATGTCGACATTCCTCATTAGGAAACTACGAAGCTCATGCAAGAAGAAAAACGATTGGACCGGTGAAAACGGGGAGTAGTCATGTGACTCCATCTGCACTGATATTAAGGTTGTTTTTTTTCTGCAGGAGAAAATTATCACTCAAATATTACTTAATTACTTCAACTCTGTGATGAATAAAACCCATTCACGACTGTTTTAACACTTAGACACCAAACTGGTTTCACCGTTTTACCTTAGGCATGTAGACACGGTCAAGACAACCTGATGACGTTCAGAATAGGGATGAAAGGTGATCTGTGTGACTTTGTATGTGGCTTGGTTTGCTTTGAATCAAATGGTTATTTCATTGCTACCCCTGAGAGAGTTTGATTGCTCTTTCATACAAATATGAAAAAGTAGTAAACTGATTACAGCAGGGGTCGGCAACCCTAGGCACGCGTGCCACAGTTGGCACTGTGGCACTCAAATATTGTGCCACAGTTGGCACTGTGGCACACGTTAACTGATGGCACGCCCATAGCTGGACTGGCCGTCGGGCATACTGGGCATTTGCTCGGTGGCCCGGTGACTTTTTTTTTCTTTGTAACGGTATAAACAATGAAAGGTGGTGGATTGGCCAGATGCTGGTCGGTGTGTAAAAATAACTCAGTTGTTTGGTGGTGGCTGTGGTGGTGCTTCCTCAGATTCAGTAACATTAGCAAGTGGTGGAGGCCAGCAGGTGGATGAGAGAAAGGGGAGGCAGGAGGAGAGACACAGGCGGCCGCCGAGTGTCAGATGAACTGAACTTCAGGTAAGAAGTTATGACCTGCAGTCTATCTGGGTCAGATATAAACCAAGTTTAGGTGTAGTTTATTTTCGTTGTGCTAAACCTTTTACAGTCAGTTACAATAACTCGTACTGCGTACTAGCTAGCATGACGGAGTTTCTATACAGCTGGGTGGGT